AGTCGATCCTTGGGTGCTTCGATGTATGCAAATGCTGCTCGTTACATTTGCATTTGGCCAATGAACTTACTCTGCTGCTGGTAAAGTAGATTTAGATAAATTCACTTTCACAATTGACACTATAAACAGATTGCGGTCCAAATTGCTGGCCACAGGAAGAGAATTAGTTGAAGTTTAAGCCAAGGAAAAACTCAAGGCAGGCGCTCCTTGTAATTGCAATTGTGCAGCTGGCCAGTGCGAAATTGGAGATGTGCCTGTACTTGTATATATTGGGGCCCAATCGCCATCAGAACCAGACTTTGGCATAATTGCCAGCCACATGGCTTGCATAATTATCAATTTACAATCGAATGCACTTGTTTATTTGCGCAAATAATTAGTTGCATGCTAAAATAATTGCAATGACTGCAAGCAATGCACTATTGTTTGTGGCTTATTTGCCTTTGTCCGGTTAAGTTAATTGTTAATTAGCGGCCAGGGCACAGATTTCACCGTCAGGCTTCAGGCAGGCTCAAAATCTCTTCTAGTTTGCCAGGTCCTTTGGCCATTTATCAGCGCAAGGATTTGCACGACGAACGCTCATTACCGAGCACTTTCTCCTAACTGCACACGCACCATAAAACCCAGTTACGTATGCAGCAATTTTCGACGGCACCAGCAGCCCAACGCACCACCTAACGCACCACCCAACGCACCACCCAACGCACCACCCAACGCACCACCCAACGGACCACCCACCGAAATGCCCTTTAAAAGTCATGAAAGATTTATGGCAATGTCAGGGGGTCTGGTGGAAATTTAATCAAACGCCGAACAACCCTTTCGTGGAATACAGAAATCAAATTTTGAAATTTGCAAACTGCGTCTGGGCGAAAACTTTCATATCAGCCCGGAAAAGTCGGTGGGTGGAGTTTGGAGTGCAGGGCCGTAATGGAAATGGCCGAAAATTGCGGGGATCACATTCCACAGCCAGGAATGCGGACCACTCACTCCCAGCAACATGTCCTTCTAATACAATACTTACAGTTTGCAGGACTACAGCTAAGGTGAACATGATATCTCGCTTTGAGGGGGAGCTGTTCTTCTAAAGGAAGTCATAGGTTTAGGGCAGTTCCGACATTGGATGGATATACATACTGATATTGCAAATTAAACCAAAGATAATTAAGTGGTGGACAATATACACCGAACCTGGTGGTGCTATTATTCTGACCGCAGCTGTGAACAAACAGCCTCAGCGGAAGGAAACTGATTCTATGCAGAGTATGTGTGTGCGTGTGCATTCGGGTAAATTTCATCTTGGAGGAGCAACATAAAAACGTCGAAAACATGGCAAACATTAACGGAAAAACAATTTTCATAAATCTAGAATTATTACCCGAGCACAAAACAACAAAAATGACGAAGGGAGACGGGGTAGGAGCAGGAGCTCCATGGCAAAAAGCGGAAGTGCGCTGTGTGTCCATTGAGGCAACAAATTTGGCAAAAAAAAAAAATAAAAAACAAAAAAAAAGAATAAATAAAATTCCAACCAGCATATGGATGATGGAGGTTTGCGAATACCCTGTCGAAAAACCCTTGTGCCAAATAAAACGACTCCAAGTCCTGTGAATAAAAAAACCCTCGCGAAAAGTTTCTTGGCAAACATATTTGCAAACGCATTTAACATACGATACGATAGCCAGTGAATTTTATTTCATATTTTACGCCTATTTTTTGGGAGGGTTGTTTTTCCTGTGCAATCCGATAAGGAGGCCAGAATGGGAGTGCTTATGTAATTGGGAAGCGTTTGGCAAACAAGCCGCCGCCATAAATCACATAATTCACGCTCCATGGACGCGAGTCCTTTTGCCATTGTCTCTTTTTCCCCATATTTTTTTTTCCACTTTCGCCACTGCGTTCTAATTCGATTTTTGCAATCGCTTTGAAGTCCACTCAAATTTCAATAATTCTCCATTTTCCATCGACATGCAAACGCAAACAAATTATAGTAAAGAGGAGTGAAGTGGGTGGAAAAACCGGGCAGAAAAACCGGGCGAGCTGAAGACATCAACTGTCGCTGTGAAATCTGTTATTAAGCCATTTATAGTTAAGGCAAACAAAGCACAAGCGACACTTGAATGCTCGAGTGCTTATAGACACACTTTTCAATGGCTTATCAAAATCTTAAGCTCACGACAATGGCAGCCCAGTGACAAAGGAAAACCCCCTTCTCACACACACACACGCACACACCCGCACACTGCTCAAGCACACACACACACACAAACACACAGACACACATGCGAGACAATTTATAAAATTAAAAGTCTTGGGGGGCAGGCAAGTGAAAGAAATGCATTGGCAGGCAACAATGGGGCGAGAATGAAATTCGCCGAAAGAAAGACAACTCCTCGACCGATTTCCCGGCTTTTCCGCTCAGCCGATTGGAAAGCCGTTACTGTGCAGCAGTTCGATAAAAGTACATAAGTGAGTGAAAGGGAAAGTTTTTTCCAACCAAACACCCACCCACCCATTCACCCCACTGCATTTGGCATATGCCGCACATATTAGTTCGCGGAATTTCTGCCAATCGCAAAGGGGAAATTTGTGTGTGTCAAGTGGTCATGACAAATCCGCCAAATACCAAAAGCGGTTTCGCAATTTGCATACGCAGAGCAGCGCGGATTTGACACAGGAAAAAATGATCAAACTATTCGGAGGTCTATTGGTAAAATTAGTTACTAATAGTTAAATAGCTGTGGCCCAATATGGGAGTTTTAGATTTTACCAAATGTATCTTTTGCTCGTTTCTTTGTCATTATAACTGATTTAAGAAAAAAAACTGTTTTTTTTCAGTGTCCAAGCCAAGTAATAGATTAATACGGCGCGCATTTAAGTATGCTGCAAAATTCCATCTAATTTATGCCACTTTCGCCATTTTCATTTTCAGGTTGTGACACATGACAACAAATCACAAACGCTAGCAGTTTACAATTGATGTTAAATCAAAGCAATAAACAGGCAATAGACGTGCGATTGTGTGTGTGAGCAGAGGGGAGGGGAGTTAGCCTTATTTGTCACCCACACTCAAAGGCAGAAACGTGACAATTTCTGTCATTCCGCCTGGAGGCGTATCCGTTTCCGTTTCCGTTTGACTTTCACTGCACTGCCACTGCCACTGCGAGTGTGAGTGCGGCTGTTTTTTGTTTAACTTAATTTTCGGCAGCGCTCAAATGCTCGACTGGCTTTGGCGGCACCTTTGTTTATGCTCTGATTGTTGTTTATGCGAGCCAGGCAAACACACACTCACATGCCCGCAAATATGCAAATGTAAGGATGCGAGAAGGCCACGATACCAGGACACCCGAGTGCCAGCGAAACGGACAAAAGGATTGTGCTTCGGGTTGACAGGCGTTTGACAAAAGGGAAGCCTAAACTTTGGCCCGGCTTAAGTGCCACGGCGAGCATTATTCACCTGGTTGGCCACATTCCCATTCACCAACACCCAAATCCCAGATCCCGTCAGCTGGGAATTTCCAGCGGCCTACGTGAACAAAGTGGAGCAGCACGGAGTTTTCCAAGGCAAGTGACAGGCTTTAATCAAGTGTCGAACACCAGGGCCAAATTAACATGTGGGACGTGGCATCGAAATCAATCCGTTTGTCAATCAGCATTTACACAAATACACGTTAGTGAAACGATATTGTATACATATTGTCTATTCGGTTCTGAAATAATGTTATCGAACATTTAAGGGAGGCAGAACATTTTCAGGATTTAAATTAATTTGCAAAAATTGTTGTTTAAAGGCTGCAAACAGCTAATAAAAGCAAACACTTTTTCAACTTTGTCATCTCATATGTTTGCCAACGAAAATATTTATTAGTGCCATATAAATTTGTTGCAAACAAATCATTTTAAAGGCAGTGAAAATGGGTTAAAACAAAGGAATTCAAGTGTAGGTAAAGCCTAAATAAATGTTTGAACTTCAATTCATTTTTATAGAAATGGTAAATTAGAACAAAACTGTGATGCCCTAACAAAAGATGCAATTTAAAATAATTTTTAAATACCGTGGGCATTTTACAATGCAATATTCACATACACATAAAAGCCTAATCAGAATTCATAAATATGTTGGTTTTGCTTTTCCTGAACAGGCTTTGTATAAATTTGTATACAAATTATTTGCCATGATTCATGGAACATTTTTGTATTGCTCGCCTTTTATTCAGCAATATACATATGTATCTCACACGTCTTAGTCACATTTTATTAGCCAAATGTAGGACTTGAAGACCCATCGAAAGTTTTGCGAGCCAACGAGAGTCCTTGTAAGCAAAACTTACCGACAAGAGTCCTTCACAGTCGCACGCCGACCGAGAATAAGAAGTTGGGGGCAACTTTTTTCAGATATGCCGAGCACCTCAGTACAATGGCAGGCGAAATTGCCAGCTGACCGCCCATAAATGCATAGAAATCCAGTGCAGAAATTAGAGAAAATCCACAAATCGAAGCAAACTTTTTGCGCCACACCCCAACGCATTCACCGCATCGCACCGCCCAGTTTATTGTTCGCAAATTTCCCTGGGGCCTTATAAAGTCCAAGCACCCAGCACCATCAACATCTCACCATCTCACCATCGACACCAGAATTTCCGTAGTGCAAACATTTGCGCTCCTGATTACTTTTAATGCTTTTCCATCGAGGGTGTGTGTGTGTGTGGTCCGGGGGGAAGGGCCGGAAAAATCAGCAAGAGGCCAAGGCCTGGCAACATCAATCAGTTCAAGTTTGGCCGAAAAAAATACAAAAATAAGAAATAAGAAATAAGAAAAAATATAAAATAGAAAATTGACCCAAATTCTAAGCAAGCATAAATCGTATTCCACTAGCCAAATTCGCAGTAGCATCATTCGTGACTTTCCTCTGTTTATGATAGTTTGAAATAGCCTCACATGCCGCGCTTTTGGCCATTGATTTTTTTATGCTCCCGTTCGACTGCAGACATTTTCTCGCACTTCTTGAGTGACAAAATTGGGGAAAATTGGCCACTGTCTTCGACTCTGCATGCCACCTCAACTGATGGGGATCAGAAAACAATTAGGCGCAATCGTTTGATTTCCCATCGAGATTCCTTTCGGGATTACACCATCATGCAGTATGAAAATCGACTGAGACTGTTCGCACATCCCACCAAGATTTTCCGCTACTTTGCCACCATTAAAATGAAGAATAAATCAGGTAAATGGGAACTATACATGACTCCCAGCGATTTTCTAAGATCAATTCAACCCGGATCGCGGCAGCCGGAGAACTTGGGCCTGGACAAGTTCCACATTCTGGATGAGCAGGCGGCCAGGAAGTGGAAGCCAGAGGTCAAAGACGATAGCATCTTCCTTAAGATCGAGAATCGTGGCTTGCTCACCTACAGTGACTATGTGCTCCTGACCATTCTGCTCTCGATTCCGGAGCGAAATGTACGGATTGGCTTCAAGCTGTTTGATTTGAATGGTGATGGCGACGTGACCATCGAGGAACTGAACTCCGTCTTTATGGCGATGACGCAGGGAGAAGTCTCCATGATGAACTCCCACTTGAAGAGTCACTTCTTTGGACAACGACTCAATAGGACCCTGAGCATCGACGACTTTCTGGAGTTTTTAAACGCCCTGCACAACGAGATCCATAGGGAGCAGTTTCAGAACCTCTTGCAGGAGTCCAGGTAACTGACCATGTTCGGCTAACACTCGTATATCATAATGCATTCCCGCTTGTAATATACAGATCCGTGATCTCAGAACTGGACTTCGCCAAGGTGGTACTGGGATTCAGGAAGTCGCGAAGCGAACGACGCGAAATCCTGAAGCGAGTCAAGGAAAAGTTCGGCAAGATGGACCGTGGAATTAGTCTGGAGGAGTTTCTGGCCTTCTTTCGGTTTGTCCAGGATGTGGGTGTTATGGACAATGCCCTCGCATTTTACTATTTCACCGGTGCGGATATCTCACACAAAACTCTGCGACACATTGCGTACGTAGTGTCCGGCATCAGTCTCTCCGAACATCTTACGGATGTGATTTTCTGCATCTTCGATCGGAACAACGACAACATTATTCAGCGGAGGGAGTTTACTGAAATGAGGCGACAGTGGATGCATCCCATTCCGTTGCGAAAAAATCTAAGGCTCTTATCCACGATGTGTATTATGTGCAAGTGCACCTGGAAAATGCTGCCATCGTGGGAACGTAGAAGACCTCATCCTGGCTATACGCCCCTCTGGTGATTTCCTTTGGGGCTAGGCGCTTTTAGTTCACTGACAAATGTACACTGAGACAAATGCCACTGTGTATTTATTTTCATCAACTTTTATAAATAAGAAAAGTCGTCTATCTGATTCAGTTGTGCTTACTATGCCTTTACTGATTACTTTAGGTACGTAAATGAAAATATGACGCATGACGGGGCTTTTCATCAACTTTCTCTCAATGTTGTGAAGAAGAACGCGGATACCTACACTACCTCACTTGGTCCTGAAGAAAGGGCGAGATGGGATGCCGGCTAGAAAAGCGCAGCTTGTTTGCTCTGGTCTTGAAATGTTTCAACTTCACAAGCCGCCAAGTTGAACGAGTTGAAAAATGAAGCGAGTCTGCAGGACGAAATCCATTCTGTTGTTGCCCCCGACACTCGAGTTGCGTGCGAGTGATGGGAAAATTCAAATACAAGTAGAAAGCAGATTCAGCACCTCCACGGCCCTCCAAACCAAAACCAAGCCCAACGACCACGTGGCTTACATGACTTTGAACTTTTATCACCTGCTGCCAAACGCTGCCAGCCATCCGAAAAGTGGGCGCCCGATTGGATGGAGGTGGGTGTACGGCATGGGATGGAATGGAGTGGAGTGGAGTGGCTTGGAATGGGTGTAACCCGGCACTTACCAAAACAATTTTAAATACTTGCGGTAGCACGCACTCGAGGGTCGAGGCGTGTTGGGCTGAGTTGAGTTGGAGCCGAGTTCCTCGTTCGACGAGACAATAGTTTGCCACATACACTTTATCTGGACATTGGCAGCCGGCCACAAGTTGATGACCGTTGGACAATTAGGGCGCCCAGGCATTCGAGATATTTGTTTAATTCACTCCCCTTCGCAGTGTGTGTCAACATTATTAAATGCGACGAATTCTAAGTGGAAATGGTTTCAGTGAATAATAATTACTATTTACATCCATTTGGTGCTGTTAATTGCGGGTCCTAGATACGAAAGTCGTTCACGGATACTGAGTTCATGGAAAATTATATAAAAATACCTACCGCCTCCTATTTGAGCTTATCCATGGACTGTTAATTGCCTAGCATGGGTTAAAAAATAGGCACTGAATATCATTTATGGACGCGAAGGAACTGAAACTTGCCTGAATTTACTAGCTGCCGAGTCCATGAACCCCACAGCTTAGAGGCTCGTAAACATGTCGAGGTTACCTGTACTATGCCATACCGCCTGGCAACTTTCACACAGCACTTTACAAAAATCAAACTCATGTGTGCTTACACGTGTGCTACCAGCAACCGAAAGCAAAACCCTCGCAGTTGTCTGCTCGCAAAACTTTGAAACTCGACGCGTCAAGGAAGTGCGATAAAAATAAACATGGAAGTTCAGGGGTCGCAAAGTTGCTGCTGCCACGCCTCCCAAAAGTGCAGCGCCAACCGCAAGGACTTGAAATGATTAGAAAGAAATGCCACAAATTCCAGTTTGCTGGACAGAAATCAATTAAATTGACAAGAGCTGCACTGTTGCTGGTTAGCCATAAATCAGAAATTATTATTTTGGATCTCAGTGTGGCCTGTAATCATGAAATCAACATCAACTGTCAATGGGATTTCGTTGGAAGTCAGAGCAGAGGAAATTCTCAATTTCAAATAAATATTGACCAGCCTTGTTTCTGATTCTGGCCAAAACGCAAAAAGGCATTTATAACATTTGAAATTTCGTAGGCAAATTACAATGCTCATGTGCTCGACCACAAATTCTGCTGACTGACCTGAAAAAAAATGCTGCTGTCTCTTCTCGTTTTTCCAACTGGCCAAAGTGTGTGTTTCAAATGCTCGGTCGAGGCAATAACGTTTGACTCTGCCTATTTGACCAGTTTTCCGGCCTCTTAGCCCTCTCTTTGTCCCCACCCCCCAAAAAGCCAGAGAACCTTATAAATTCATACCACTTTTGGAGCCTTTGTGTGCCCGCTTTTATGTGTGAGATATTCAAATTTATAAATTATGCAATTTTATGGTTTTAAGGCGTAGAATGTGCAAAAATATTATTTTACACACATTTGTGCCCGAGCACGGCATCGCCCAAATTGCAGGACGACCAGGTGAGACTGTGTGCGCCACATCCTTACACAGATTTGCCCTCCAGCTGCACCACTTTAACATAATTTGCATGAATTTACTGTGGATATACTCTGGGTCTAATGCACCGGATGCACAGGTTGAATTTTGGCCGACCAGCGACACTTATCTGAATTATGAATTTGCAGGTGCTTATCGGTCGGAATAACCACACATGTACATAAATATATATTTGCATAGATGCTGGAAGGAGTTCTCTTTGAAGATTTAGACAGCTGTAAATTTAATTTATCATCTTAGAATCGCAAAGCACTAAATTTGCTTGGCGAAAGTCAAATGCCGACAATAAATACCCCTTTAAATCGCATTTAAATTAACTGCTACACTCACACCTGAGTGGCTGGGTGGCTGGATAATTAAGTTTCACGACTTTTGCTGGCTTTAAGCCCTTTTCGGCTTTCCCAGCTTTCCCTGCTGTTCCAGCTTTCCCTGCTATCCGTGCTTTCCCTGCTTCGACATCGCTTTAACATTCTGCACTTCTACGCGCATTGAAAAGTTGCCATTTAAAGGGATTAAAAAGTTTTTCACATCATTTCCTGCCGATTAAAATGTTCAGCGTGCAGGAGCGACACACTGCCAACCGGCTGAGCCCTAACTATTGCCCTGCCCCATCGTTTGCCGGAGCTGGAGTTTCAGTTTTCGAGGACACAAAGGATTCACATGTCGCCGAACAAAGTTTTGCATCAGTCTGCGCTCTCGTAAAGCTACATTTACTTACAACTTGTACCGTGAGTTACGGCAAGTATTAGCACAAGTGCTCTTAAGGGGCCGCAGATTGCTCTTTCATTTTTAAATTTACCCTAAATGCGACCGTCTGGCTGCGCTCATTACATAAAGCTGATTGGCTCGACTATCGCATACCCAATGTACGCGGTACTGTTCAAAAATATGCTGCACATTTAAGTGACAGGCTTTTAGCACTCAAATGAAATCGGTTCAAGGCACTCACATCTACTGAAAATCAAAATATATGTGCGAGTATAGTCTGCATGAAATACCCCTAAAATGGGCCATTAGGAGGTACTGAAATCCACAGAGGACAAAATGTTCTGCGGCTTGTTTGATTACGTTTCATCAAACGTGCCTAAAATTCTAAAAAGCACACATGTCAAACTAATAAAGTTTAAGCGAGAACGTTTTGATAACAACGTTTTGGCCAACAACCAGAGCATTCACATAACAACAGCCAGTAAGTTGGGTATATTTTTTGCTTCTTTTATTTTTTTTTTTGGTTTTTTTTTTTTTTTTTTGGTCCAGACCAGACTTTAGCCTCCCCGCTAGCAATTTACATACACAAGCCCCGCCAGACGATTGTACATTTTAAATGCTGCGACATGAGACCGGGTAGAAGTTATTTAAACTTTTTCCTTGCCAGCTCAGTCTTTGCAGCAAGTCGTTTTACTCTGGCTGCTCTGATGAGCTCCACTCATAAAGCACTATATTTGCTATGTTTGTTTTCCAGTTTGGCACAAACGAGCGTACAGGCAGCCAGCCCCATTCAGTTGGCATCAGCATAATGATGATGAATGGCCCCTGCTGACATATGAAGCGCATTAATACAGTCTGTGCCATCGGATCGAATGGGACAGCATCGGAGGTGGGAATGGATGGGGCACCCTTCCAATCCATGGGATTCGTGTGGATGAGCAGCCATATCGCTTCTGTTAACGAACTCTCGATGGTGTTTAAGGGATTACTGGGTTCCCAGCAAAACAAAGGCATTGAAGGCAGGAAGTGGGTACATTAAAAACCTAATAACCTAGTAAAGCAACTAAATCGATCTTGATCACTGTGGCAAAAATATAATATTTGAAATAATGTTTTAATACCCATCAAATTCTTGTGCGGGTACCGAAGCACACTCGACTTCATTAACCATCAAATGTTTTTTTCGTTTTTGTGTGGTAGTTGGCATACGCAATTAATTAAAGCATAGTCAATGTTAATTATTTAAGCGCGTAAAGCTGATTACATAAGATAAACAAGGCGAAATCCGTTATAATTTATAATTACTGCACGCTTTATTGACTTACTTATGCAAATGACTTTGTTTTTGCAGTTAATTATCTCATAAGTTCATAATTGTTTGCATGCACTTATAAAACAACTTAATGAAATAGGCGAATGACGTGGCTACGATAATTTATTTATGTTTCATATGCTGCCCGCTAAATTGAAATTTGTCCAGGAGCCTCAAACTGTTAATATCCACACAGCGATTAAATATTGCATTTATTAAGCCGCATCTGTATGCCAGTTCGGTGAATATGGAATTGCGCAAATTACAATTAAATAAGTAGTCAATGGCCTGTAAAATGTTGTATTAATATTAATGAAACAACAATGGCCGGACTAGGTATTCTCGTAAATTATTTGCAGATTGTAGCTTACGCCAATTTAAATTCTGATTACGCTCCGACCAATTTCGCAGCATCGAAAGTATTGAAAAAAATACACGAGTATATATACTTTTAATTAAAATAGTAATTGTAATTACCACATACACGACGAGCCATAAAATGTAATTATCTGGCGTACTTATTTAAAAAGATTGTAAGGGATGCCTTTGGCGGGATTCTTGAAACGGAATTATTCGCCGCCATCTCAACATTTACTCCGAAAAAGGACGAAATGGCCTAGCAACATGTAGCCAGTAATTTGATTTCCCCTTCGAAGGACAATAAACTACCCCTGAATGGAAAATACCACCCCCCTCCACCGGCACAGTTGAAATTAACCACAATAAATACATGCAGCCCGTAATCAGGACAAAATTGCATCAAATATTAATATGGCAAACGCATTAATTTAACAACAGGCCAAATGCATTATATTTAATATGGGTTCCTGTCCGATTTCCCGATGCATAATTAATGCCTCGGGTCACGCAAAAGTTTATCAATGCCCAAACGTCTTGGGGTTACGCAACTTTTTTAATAAATTAAAGCCAAGCAAATGGGAAGTGATGTTGCCAA